CTAATCGGCCAAACGCATGGCAGCAGCTCAATGCATTTAGGTGTATAGACATGGGCAAGACAATCTGCTGCAGTTTAAACTGACCATTAGAATGAGGAAGAAAGATGATTTAAGTGACTTTGAATGTTGCATGGTTGTTGGTGTCAGACAGGCTGGTCTGAGTACTTAAGAAACTGCTAATCTACTGGGATTTTCATGCACAACCATCTCTAGGATTTACAGAGAATGGTCTAAAAAAGAGAAAATATACAGTGAGCGGCAGATCTTGTTGATGACAGAGGTCAGAGGAGAATGGCCAGACTGGTTCGAGCTAATAGAAAGGAAACAGTAACTCGTTACAACCGAGGTATGCAGAATAGCATCTCTGAACGCACAACACGTCCAACCTTGAGGCTACAGCAGCAGAAGACCACGCCGGGTGCCACTCCTATCAGCTAAGAACAGGAAGCTGAGGCTACAATTCACACAGGCTCACCAAAATTGGACAATAGAAGATTAGAAAAATCTCAATTTCTGCTGCGACATTCGGATGGTAGGAATTTGGCTTAATCCAATAGAGCACTTTTGGGATGTGGTGGAATGGGACATTCCCATTATGGATGTGCAGTGGACAAATCTGCAGCAACTGCATGATGCTATCATCTCAATATGGACCAAAATCTCTGAGAAATATTTTCAGTATCTTGTTGAATCTATGCCACGATGGATTAAGGCAGTACTGAAGGCAAAATAGGGTCCAAGTCAGGATTAGTAAGGTGTACCTAATAAAGTGGCCGGTGAGTGTACATTAGATAAATAAGCCCAAACTAATCAGAGAAAAAAAAAAACTTACAATCCAAAGATTATTACAGCCAAATTAATGTTGGGGGAAAATATTAAACAACACAATTTTAATAAATATGAAAAATCAAGATAAGCATATTCAGTTGAAAATGTGTAGTTTGTAGTTTATTAATATTCTATTTTTTGAAAAAACTGCTTTGAATTTAAAAAGTATTTTCTTTCTGTTCCCAAAGACGTAATTTGACAAAGCTTTTATTTTAATGGATTTAACTGTTTATTAAAACTGTTTTATTCAAATATACAGAATATTATTGCCTGTATTCATTGAAAAATGAAGGTGTCCTCAATTATGCTCAGTACCGTTTATTTGTTAATGTGTATATATTTTCAGCGTTAAAAATATTTTCCTCTATTATCTGTGTTGTCAGCACGGTGGCTCAGTGGGTAGCACTGTCGCCTTGCAGCAAGAAGGTCACTGGTTCCAGCCTCAGCTGGGCCAGTTGGTATTTCTGTGTGGAGTTTGCATGTTCTCCCCGTGTTGCTGTTGGTTTCTTTCAGGTGCCCCGGTTTCCCCCACAAGTGCAAAGACATCCACAATAGGGGAATTGGGTAAGCTAAGTTGTCCGTAGTGTGTATGTGTGTAAATGGGGGTCTATGAGTGTTTCCCAGTGATGGGTTGCAGCTGAAAGGGCATCCGCTCTGTAAAACTTATGCTGGATAAGTTGGCGGTTCATTCTGCTGTGATGACCCCAGATTAATAAAGGGACTAAGCTGAAAAGAAAATGAATGAATTATCTGTGTTTTTGTCATTTCCTCATCCTCCACTAGGTTTCAAACCTGTCAAGTTTCCGTTTTATGTTGAACATGAATATATTTTGAAAACTTTTGGGTAGCCATTGATTTCCATTTTGTTTTTTCAGCTTGATGTCACTAGGAAATGTAAGTATTTTATGTTTTGTTAGTTTAGTGACTATGAAGTTCAGTTGTACGAAAATGCACGATTTTAAAAAGGAGGCGTGGCACTCAACCTCGCCCCTAAACCCAGCCATGATTGGGGGATGAGCAAATCAAACTAAATTGTATGAATTAAATCGTATGAATTCATACGAAGTAGCCACTAAATCAAAAAGTTAGATTGTGTTGCCTTTTTTTACTACTATGGTAGTATGCGTTTCCAACATTGACAATGTTTACAAGGACATCAGTAATCAAATTATTTGCCTTAATCTGAATAAGACAATAATATGATTAAGGTGTTTACTTGAGTTGCTTTTTAAATGTTCCTATATGATCCCGTTTTACATGTTATAGCACATAATTCGATTAACGCAATTAAGGACCACGCTACCCCTGTTTCCTCCAGAGTTTCATGTAATTTCGGATGTTTCATTTTTAATTTGTCGACTTCAATGGCAGTTAGGCACTTTCACTTTCATTCAGGAACATTTCATTCATGCTCCTGTTGAAAAACAAGATATTGAATGCAAGGAGCTGCTGGAAGAGTGTTGTTTTAATGGAATTTGAGACCGCACGCCATATGGGAAAAAAAACCTCTGCATTTTGCAAAGTGTGTGTCTGTGGTCCCTGACTCAGGAGGTGCAGAGAATAGTGTCGAAACAGCCATGTGTGTATACACTATCCTGTCGCAAAATGCAGCCAAAACCCAACATGACGGTAATAATTTGATTACGGTGTTTACATGTCTGTACAGCACTTCAATAATGTGACTAAAATCGACATACTCCACATGTCTTAATTCCATTTCTGTTTAGTTCATTTATGACCTTAAATTAATCAAAAAACACTGTTTACTGTGAGTAAATTGTGACTAAATGTTCATTTTTGGGTGAACAATCGCTTTAAAAGGACATTTTTTGTTGTTGATGAAAGAACATTCTGATCATCTAAAAAAATGATTGTGCAATAAATAAATTTTATGGGTGTAAATGAATCTTTATAAACCCATTAACAACAGATCTTTATTTGTTAAGATTGCAGTGTCTACATGTCTAAACATCTGTATGGAAACTCCTTCCCTCAGACTGACCTTTGTTTAAAGATGATTCAGAGCCCACAAAAGCTGAAAGCGACAACAGCATAAGAAGTGAAAGTAAAATTATTTGCACGTATTAGAAATATCAGGGTTTATAGTTATGCTTTTTTTGTTTCAAAATAGGCACTTTTAAAAAACTAAAGATATTATTTTATGCCAAAATTGATTGACTACCTCTGCACTACTTTTAGTACTGTTAATAAACTTTTATAGTTTTTATTATTATTCAAAAGGAAGTGTAAATTCGATATTTTATTAGATTTTGGTTTTGGTAAAATGTTGTCCTTTTTATTTATTCATTTTATTTTTACATTCATTCATTCATTTTCTTGTCGGCTTAGTCCCTTTATTAATCCGGGGTCGCCACAGTGGAATGAACCGCCAACTTATCCAGCAAGTTTTTACGTAGAGGATGCCCTTCTAGCCGCAACCCATCTCTGGGAAAATATTTTTACATTTATTTACAAATATGAAGTACTTATTTATATTTAGGCCCATCTTTTTGTTTGTTTGTTTTAGATAATTTAGTTTCAGCTGTTTTTGTACTTCAGTTATATTGAACTGCTTAGGTGATGTTTAGTAACAAATGTAATGCATTTATGCTTTTGGTTTGAGGACAAAAACTAAGTCTGTTTAATGGACTTTTCACAATTGAATAAAATGTGTAATTTTTATCAGCTACAATGCTAGGAGTTTTCAAAACAAGTTCTTTATTATTGATCATGTGTTCATTTGAATGTTTTTAATGCACAATTAAAGAACAGTCTTCTTTTTATTTTCATTGTGTATACATATGACATTTATTCATTTCATGTAGTAGTTTTAGATTATCTAATTTAGTTTATTTTAGTACTTAAAACCAAAAAAAAAGTTATATATATATATAAGGCACATTGGGTAGCACAATTGCCTCATAGCAAGAAGGTTGCTGGTTCGAGCACCGGCTGAGTCAGTTGGCATTTCTGTGTGGAGTTTGCATGTTCGTCCCGTGTTCGTGTGGGTTTTCTCTGGGTGCTCCAGTTTCCCCCACAGTCCAAAGACATGCGCTATCGGTGAATTTAATAAGCGAAATTGCCCGTAGTGTATGTGAGTGTGTGCAAAAGTGTGTAGATGTTTTCCAGTGTTGTGTTTTTGGCTGGAAGGGCATCCACTGCGTAAAACATGTGCTGGATAAGTCGGTGGTCCATTCTGCTATGGCGACTCCAGATTAATAAAGGGACTAAGCTGAAAAGATATTTATATATATTCATTCATTCAGTATTTTAAGCCAAGTGGCTGTAAACAATTTATTTGGGCTGAATTTAAACAAACAAATTAAGTTGTACTATATTTAATTTGTTTGTTAAAGTTCAACCAATATAAATTGCTTGCAATAATTTTGCAGACATTCTTTTTTTAGTGTACTGAGTGATTTCAGCTGCTGTCTGGGCTTTCATTGCCTTTTTACACTTCCCTTTCTCCATGCGTTCAATACTTTTTCCCTGTGTCATTTAATTTTATTACACTTATGTCATTTGTAAACTAATTAGATTTGTTTTTTGCATATATGGATTTCTTTGGTTGTTACCAACATCCGGGGAAAAAATTTCAACAGCATCTTTAGAAATATGTTGTCTGTAAAAATAGTGACGCGTTCAATACATATTTCCCTGTATATCCTTTGCACTCCTGGTTAGCCCTAAACTGCATTTTGTAAAATTGAATCCAATAAAATGTAACACTTTTATTGACAAAAGTCAAAATATGGTTAGAATTATGTTTACAAATGATTTTCAAATAAGAATGTTTTGTTTATAGCTCGTATAAATACACTTTTAAAATGCTGCTTTCCACTCAATAATTGTGTTGATTTAGCTCATTATAAATAAGTAGTTTGAACAAGCAGAAAAAAAAGGAAAAGAAAAAAAAATATATATATATATATATATATTTTTTTTTTTTTTTTTTTTCCTAGCCAGCAGTTTTTCCAGCATGTCTGGCTCAATGTCATTAAAATATAAGCAGTGATGTTTCACAATTTTTGGTTTTCCCATAAACAGTTACGCAATACAGGTCTGACCACTTCAGGATTAAATTAGTGTAACTTTCCATAATAAATCTGTTGGGAAAACCCACATCCAGCCCAATCCAAGCCTTATAAATATCTCAGCCTGGATGAAGACATGAACTGAGCGAATCCTGAGTGGTAAGAGATGCTTTCTGTATGCAAGGGAGTGAAGTTACAGAGAGTTCATCAATAGCTGCAGATTTTAGAATTTCTGTGCTGTGATATTAATGTTTGTTTGTTGTAATGTTTGTGTGTGTTCAGTTCTGAAATCATGAAGCTTCTTCTTGCTGTGCTGGTGATGTTTATGGTGGTGGAAGCCCAGGCGCAGTGGTATCGCTTCCCAGGAGAAGCCGCTGGAGGTCAGTTGTTATTCCAGTTTATCTCCATATAGCATGCAAGCACACTCAAAAAAATTACGTTTGTTGTTAGTTCAAACTACATATTTAAAATGAGTTAAAATATCACAATTTGGGACAACTTGATAGTGTTATGTTCAATGTACTTAAATTTTTTAACTCTAATAAATTAATTTAGCATTTTTATCAAATCAATTGTGTGGAACAGTGCATGCAATCTCAAGAAACTGCACTGAAAAAAGTTATTAATTGGATTTACTCACTTGTTTTTTACGGTAAGTGGTTACAAACTATTTATATGGGCTGAATTGCAACAAACAAATTAAGTTGAACATTACTAAGTTAAATTTGTTTGTTTAAAAATTAGCCAACAGTATATAAACTGTTTGCAACCACTTACCTTAAAAAATGTAGTAAATCTGATTATTAATTTTTTTCAGTCTGACTTTTACTGCTTGTTCAAACCACTTATTCAGGGTGTCCGCGAGGTCTTAAAAAGTATTAAAAGTTGATTAACCAATGTGGATAAATTTAAGGCCCTTAAAACGTATTGAGGCAAGGCCGTGGCGCAGTAGGTAGTGCTGTCGCCTCACAGCAAGAAGGTCGCTGGTTCGAACCTCGGCTCAGTTGGCGTTTTGGTGTGGAGTTTGCATGTTCTCCCTGCCTTCACGTGGGTTTCCTCCGGGTGCTCCGGTTTCCTCCACAGTCCAAAGACATGCGGTACAGGTGAATTGGGTTGGCTAAATTGTCGGTGTATGAGTGTATGAGTGTGTGTGTGGATGTTTTCCAGAGATGGGTTGTGGCTGGAAGGGCATCCGCTGCGTAAAAACTTGCTGGATAAGTTGGCGGTTCATTCCGCTGTGGCAACCCCGGATTAATAAAGGGACTAAGCCGACAAGAATATGAATGAATGAATTAATGAATAAAACGTATTGAAAAGTCTTAAATGCTATTTTGCAAGGTATTAAACGTTATATTAATTTTGATTATGCAATGTATAGTTGTTTGCTTAAGTTTGCCTGGATTAAATCTGGGAATATCAGGATGCTGTATATTTTATGAAACCAATGAAATCCTGCTAGATTTGACATCATGCTGCTTTGTTTACCAAGGCAACGCCATTACATCTGCAGTTCCATAGGTGCCACCAGCTGAATTAGCTAGATTTAATAGATTTTTATTCAGAATATGAACAATGTTTTAGTTTCTTACATTAATATTTTGTAAATATACTGTAGTTGAAAATCTCGCCAGTGTTTCTGATTTAAAAGTGGCAATAAGGTCTTAAAATGACTGGAAAGAGTGTTAAAAAAAGATCTTAAAAGGTATTAAATTTCACTCTCTGATTTCTGTATATAGCCTATTTAAAATGAGTTGAAACAACACAATTGGTTTATGTTTAATCCACTTAAATTTGTATAAACAATGAAGCTAACTTAAACAATTTGTGGAAGGAATTATGTAAAACCCAGAATTTTTTACAGTGAACTAAATAGAAGCATACACCAAAAAAAAAAAAAAAAAAAGAAACGCAGGGTTTTACACAATCGATTTGTGTTGAGACAACAAGAAGGAATTAAGTTAACTGATTTTTACAAATTTAAGTGAATTGAACATAAAAGAATTAATCTGTCCGGAAAAACCCCCAAAAGAAGTTTCTGCCGTGATACCTCTATATGCCTGCACAGGCTGGTAGGTCACCTAATCTGCTTATGCATCATTAACTACATGGCACAGGAGATTTTGTCACCTCAGCAGCCAATAAGCTTGCTCCTCATCACCTTAAATGTTCCATGTCATTTTACGCTGTTAAGCTGCGTCACGTTTTCAGAGACCCTCCTCCACCCCAGCTCCACCTGACCTTAAATCTGCTACAGGGGTTATATATATTATGTTTGCAGCAGCAGCATGTTATATTCTCAGACGGCATGTCTGTGTATGTACTGGGAGTAGCAGGTCTTGGTACTTGCTTTGCCATAATAATCAAAGCAGCAGCAGCGTAGCAGATCTATACCGCCAAGACCAAATACATCAACATTGCCATATACATATTCATTACCATATTAAATCCCGAGAGTGTTCATGACAGAAATTAATTCACTGGAAAACCCAAATTATTAAGGTAACCCAAAACATTTGAGGAAACCTATTGCAACAAACCATTGAAGTTCAAAAACTAATCGTAATGAGTACAGTGAACTTACTCCATTTGAGTAAATGAAGCAATCTGAGCACAGTAAAACCCAATAATTGAAGAGAACTCAAACCATCTGAGTACTGTAAAACCCAATAAGTTAAAGCAACTCAAACTGTTTGAGGAAACCGATTTCTACAAACCATTTGAGATATAAAAAAAAACATCAATATGAGTATTGTGATTTTTAAAACTCTTTTCAAATGAGTAGAATTAACTTTCAGTCAATTTTAGGTTAGCTACACTAATTTCATTTGATAAAGTTGACTGTTTGGTTTTACAGTGTTAATACATAGTTTAAACAAACAGCAAACGTCATTTATTTGAGTGTAGTTGACTAAAGATTAAATCTGAAAATAATTAATAATTGAAGAGAACTCAAATTAATTGAGTACTGCAAAACCCAATAAGTTGTTTGAGGAAACCGGTTGCTACAAATCATTTGAGTTGAAAAAACCTATCTATTTGAGTACTGTGAAGTAATGAGGCATTTAATTAACTCATTACCTTCAACACTGAGTTCAAAACTCTTTTCAAGTGAGCAGAATTAACTCTCAGTCAATTTTGAGTTAACTACACTCATTTCATTTGATAAAGTTGACTGTTGGGTTTTACAGTGTAGTTGCCTTAATTAAATATATTGATAGAGTCTACCAAAACTTTTATATTTAAGCTTATTTAACTTGATGCATATGTAGGATATATATCATTTTGCACTGCACTTATCAAGTTAAAAAGTTTGCTCAACATGAAAGTAACCTGAAATTGATTGTATTCATTCATTTTCATTTCGGCTTAGTCCCTTTATTAATCTGGGGTCGCCACAGCGGAATGAACTGGCAACTTATCCAGCATATGTTTTATGCAGCGGACAACCTTCCGGCTGCAATCTAACACTGGGAAACACTCATACACACTTGCATTCACACACATACACTACGGCCAATTTGGCTTATTCAAATTCACCTATAGCGCATGTCTTTGGACTTGTGGGGGAAACCGGAGCACCTGGAGGAAACACACGCCAACATGGGGAGAACATGCAAACTCCACACAGAAATGCTAACTGAACCAGCAACCTTCCTGCTGTGAGGTGATCGGGCTACCAATGTGCCACCATGACGCCCTAAAATTAATTTTAAATGTTTTATTTAAATTTCATAGAACTCATTTATATAAAGGTTTTGTTTTTGACTGAGTGCTTTGTACATAAACCAAACAGAAAAAAAAACATGTGCTGCATAACACTTTTATGGACAAACATCAAAGTAATGCATAACATCCAATCAGTAAATATCTTGCTAAAATTTTATAGACAAGTAAAAGATTAATGTCTCGATTTTAAACAAGTCAAGGGTGAGTGAGTATTATGATGATGGCAGAATTTTTCATTTTTGGGTGAACTATCCCTTTAATTAACTTTTTTTACTCTATTTTTGAAGGTGCAAAGGACATGTGGCGTGCCTACCAGCATATGAAAGAGGCCAATTGGAAGAACTCGGACAAGTATTTCCATGCACGCGGGAACTATGAAGCTGCACAGCGGGGTCCTGGGGGCTATTGGGCAGCCAAAGTTATCAGGTTGATAATGTTTGATTAAACCCGACAACTATATTCCTCAGACCAAGAATTTTTATTCATTGATTCATTTTCTTTTCGGCTTAGTCCCTTTAGTCCCAGCATATGTTTTACGCAGTAGATGCCCTTCCAGCTGCAACCCAGTCTTGAGAAACATCCATACAATCTTAGGCCCCGTTTACACTAATGCGTTTTCGTTTTAAAACGCATAAGTTTTGCTACGATTACGCCATCCGTCCACACTACGCCGGAGTTCTCGAGCGCCGAAAACCGAGCGTTTTGAAAACGCTGGAGAGGCCATTTTCATTCTAAAACGCTGCTGCTCCGTTTCAGTGAGGAAAAACAGAGACATCGGAAAACGGAGGCGGGACTGCTGCGATTCGCTACCTGATTGGGGCTTTTGTGTCATTGCGTATCCTTCCCTTATTCGTCAAGCCCCTATCACACGACTATAAGACATGGATTTAACGCTACCGGAAGACAGTACTGTAAACAACAACATGGACACAGAAATGGGAGCGTTGTTTGCACTATTGTCTGTTTTAGGCGCCATTGTGCAGTTATTCATTTGCTACGTTTAGTAACAACTCGACCTTGTCGTTTGTCCACAAAAATACCTCTCTTGCATTCTTTGCCATCGTGTTTAATGTACAACCCGCAGTTGTTGACAAACAATAACTAAATGCCGAGCGAGACACATGCTTTCTGTTTATACTAGAATGCGCATGCCCAGAGTGCGCAAATAGTCACGTGATATACGTTTTTGGTGGCGTAGTGTGGACGGAGATATGTTCAGAGATGCTAGGTGAAACGCTAGTGTGGATCATTTTTTATCTAAAACGCTGTTTTAAAACTAAAACGCACTAGTGTAAACGGGGCCTTATTCACACACATACACTACGGTCAATTAAGCTAACCCAATTCATCTATACCGCATGTTTTTGGACTTGTGGGGGAAACCGAAGCACCTGGAGGAAACCCACACCAACACAGGGAGAACATACAAACTCCACACAGAAACGCCAACTGACCCAGCTAGCAAAACGTTACATTTTAGCAAAAAAAAATTATTATTCTGGAGCCAGACAGAAGTGAGATCAGGGGTCCTATCATACACCCGGCGCTATGCGGTGCATTGCTCAACGCAATTGTTGTTTGCTAGTTTCAGCTAGGCGCAAGAGTCGTTTTGATGTTTTGCACCACGCTGTTTAAATAGCAAATGCATTTGCACTCATATGTGCGCCCATAGGCGTTTTGGTCTAAAAAAAAGGAGGCGTGTTGAAGCACATTACTGGCGTGTTGCTATTTCGAGTACCTGGAGGAAACCCACACAAACACAGGGAGAACATGCAAACTCCACGCAGAAAGGCCAACTGACCCAGCCGAGGCTCAAACCAGCGACCTTCTTGCTGTGAGGCGACAGCACTACCTACTGCACCACCGTGTCGCCCTTTATTAAGCCGTTTTAAATATATTTGATGAATCGTTGCACAATATTGTAGGAAATCATTGTCAAACCTTGTTGTGATGTGTTCAGTGATGGACGGGAGGCTCTGCAAGGTCTCATTCGCAGAGGCAATTCAGATGCTGCAGCCGATCAGGAGGCCAATCTCTGGGGCCGAAACGGCGGAGACCCCAACAAATACAGACCTAAAGGCCTGCCCATAAAGTACTGAGAAGATGACCCCCAGAAGACTTAAATCATCAACTAAAGCAGTAGTTTGCATGACAAATATTAAGCCATTTCACTCACTTTATATATTGATGGTTATTTTCTTCAAATCTCCATGTATGCAAATATTACTGTACACCTTTCTTTGACATATTTGTTTTATTCTTAATATGTTATATTGAAGTTAAAGTGTTGTTATTTGGTGAATTTAATGTTTTTAAGTCTTAATAAAGAAAACAACATAAGTCACGTGTTTCTGCTTTTCTTATGTCTTAATGTTTTTTTCTTTAATTCTTTATGCAAATAATACATCTTTCACATATTTGTTTGATTTTTAATATTGAAGTTGAGGTGATATAATGTGTTCCATATAATGTCTTTTAAAAGTCTTATTATTAAAGAATACAACCTTAGTCTAGTATTTTTTCTTGAATGCTGCCATTAAGGAAATTTACAAAATCAAAATGTAATATTTTATGTTAACGTTACTTTAATTTATTAAACTTTATATTGAAGAGAAAAAAAAAACGTTTTATCAATTGTATTTTATAGAGGAAACTCTTTTCTTGCGTATGTCATAAAAACTATGGATATAACAGTTAGGCTATAACGTTAATATTAGTAACTTAGCCAGCAATTAGTAGCTGCCAGGTGTGGACTGGTTACAGTTTTACTAATATAACATGATTAAATAATAGTTATTATAACAAAACCATGTTGAATTTACAGTAACAATTGTTTAACTCAAATTAACTTACTCAGTTTACTTTCATGGTTTTATATGTAACGCTAACTTTATCTGTGTGATAATAGAAATAAACGACTCACCTCACGACTAACGTTAACCTCATCTCTCTGGGTAGTTTTGCTGTAGTTCAATACGTGGTGTTATGTAATTATGAGAACTTGTGAGATAATAAAATATAATCAAAATGTCTGTCAAAAAATGTCGAAATTTGTGTAAAACTTCGTCTGTTTTCATTCACGTCACTCACTCACTCACTCACTGTTTATGCCGGAGCGCCTCCTTCCGGTCACACAAGCAACTGTCCTCCACATTGATATCCGTAGATCACAGGTGTCAAACTCGGTTCCAAAAGGGCCGCAGCTCAGCACAGTTTAGTTCCAACCCTAATTAAACACACCTGATCAAACTAATTGAGTCCTTCAGGCTTGTTTGAAACCTACAGGTAAGTGTGTTGGAGCAGGGTTGGAACTAAACTGTGCAGGGCTTCGGCCCTCCAGGAATTGAGTTTGACACCCCTGCCTACAGGCCTATGTGTGTTTAATGCTGTCATGCACCAGCACATGTGGCATTTGACGTGTTTTTAATGTGCATATGCTCCTGTTCTATTAAAATATATAGGCCGACAGTATAGAAACCATCAAAGACATTCTTATATATTCTACAGCAAATACCATAAAGGCATTGCAAACCATCAAATGTTAACCAATAAAAACAGCACATTTTAATGTGGGTTTTGGGGATTTACTCCATTAGGATTAAACGCTTATAACAGGCCACCAATGGAAGACAGCAAGTTGCCATTTGAGACCCACAGGAAGCATTACAGTTTCCATTAAAACCCATACAATTCCCATTATAACCATTAAAACTGTTACTCTGTGAGGGTTTAGCTATATTGAATTTTCAGCAGGGGTCGCTATGGCTTAGACGTGTTATTACATTAGTCAACAACATTTAAAGATCAAAACCTTTCATCAAAGTTGTCCTAAAACTACTGAACAACACCCATTCTTGTCTTAGGACAATTTTGAACAACCATTTTGATCCACCTAAAATGTTGAATAGCTACTGTATAGCCTGTAATTCCAGGGTGAAGCCGTCTCATGTTAAATAATATTGGTATAATATCAAAATATATATGTATATTTCTATTGCATCCAATTGAATGATGGGTTGGCAAGCGTTGGGGACGTGCTGGTGCAGGCATCTGGAATTCCCACTGTTTTTAACATCTGGGAGTACAACCAACAGAAAAAAAGTCAATATAAAAGCAAAACTAGAAGTATTCACAATCTAGTCTACAAGTCATTTAGCTAGTTTCGTCCTGAATACACACATTGTTCATCCTAGAAGCATCAGTTTTATAATTGTTTCCCAATGGGATTCAGAAGCTGATAAATCAATTGATTCGGATGCACTACAAGCAGAATTTGACAATTTTCTCCAGTTTCTAATATAAAATCTTCAGTATAGCTGTCTTCTTGTATCCACTTGGAACCCAGTTAAAAAACTGAAGTTGGTCTAGAACATCCAACTACACTAAAATGGACGTGCAACACAGGAAACATCACAATAACTGTGTTCATGGTATATCATTACAACCGTGAAACTCTTGTTATGACTAAACGAACAATACTTTTATTAAAGCTTTAGAAGTCTTGGCTGACTGACAGAGGATGCTGAAATTAAAGGAATAGCTCACCAAAAATGAATATTTGCTGTTTAATTCACTAATCCTCAGTCAAAGTTTTTGTTTTTCAGTAAATCATTAAAGATTCAGTCTTTCGTCTGGATAAAAAAAAGTTTTCCTGGTTTACAAAATCAATACCTATCCTTGCTGGAAAACCGTAAAAGCTTAAACAAGCATTACTTGTTGGTTGGTCGACCAGCGTAATTTTAGAGGGGTTTTGGCTCAGCGTGATCTCTAGTTTAGCTGAAGATGATCAGCTAAAACCAATTTGACCAGCCTGGTTTAAACTGGACATAGCTGGTCACTTCCCAGCTAGGTTGGAAATGACCAAAACCCCACTAAAACCAGGCTGTTCGACCAGCTTAGCTTTTTTTTTTTTTTTTTTTTGAGATTTTCTCGACAAGAACACCACCACAATTCCATTGTTACATTGAAAGCAGAAACCTTTTATTTCTTGTCAGTCTTACACTGTTACTAGAGACCTTCAGCTTCAAATAGAAAAAAAATTTTTTTTTTTTACTAAATGCTTATGGTCACATCTGACTCGATGATGATATGCTAAGCTAGTAATGACCAAGCATGAACAAGAATGACAAGAATATTTTTAAGAATGGTTTAAGTCAATAGTAGTGGTTGGTGAATGGCAATTTCTTTAATCCACAGCCTCTGCGATTATTTAAAGCAAATGTTGGGCCTTCAAAATATGCAGTGCAGCGATTAAAAAATGACTAACCCTGCTAATGTGGTATCAAAGTAGCTGAATTTTTACCCGTGTGATGTTTATAAAAATGATCCTTTAAAACCCAGATGTCAAAGTTAGTTCCTGGAGGGCCGCAGCTCTGCAGTTCAGTTCCAACCACAGAAACACGCCGGATCTCCTTGATGCTTGTTTAAAACCTACAGGTAAGTGTGTTGGAGCAGAGTTGCAATTAAACTGTGACTTGGACATGCCTGCTCTAAAATTATTGATGATCATGAACAGAATGCCAATATAAAAAAAAAAAAGAAAAAAAAAAAAAAGTGAGGCAACATTAAAGTTCAGCGTTTTTAAAAACTTCAAAAATCACTAAGACAAGTTTAATAAAGCTCCTTCACACATTTTAGACAATAACAGTAATATGTGACTCTGGTGTGTGAGATCTTAAAGTACAAATTTCCATCACTAATATGACATGACCTTCATTTGAACATCTCTGAAATGACCCAAGGAGGCGAAAATCATTTTGTAATAAACTTTATTTTGGTCCCGAGGAGAGAGTTTAGTCAAAGAGTCCGAATCCCATGTCATCATCGGATTCCTCAGACTCCTCTTTCTTCTCTTCTTTCTTCTCCTCCGCTGTTGAAAAAAAAGGGGACAACTTGCATGATTACAGGACCAACAATACAACATTCACTTTAAACCAACAAATGCTCAGAATTATTGGAGCAAACCATGGCAGCACACGACACAAAATACACCTTTCAAAAGAATCAGCACAATCAGATGAAAATATCTGGATGGATTGATCTGAGTTTACTGCATGTGCTTGTGTTTGCGGTGTACCATCAATGAAAGAATGAAGCAATTGGCTGGCAGCAAGACAACAGTATAACGAGATCTAATTAATATTCAATTATCAGCAATGTTAAAAATACGACAAAATTCACAGTAAATAAATTCATTGTTAAATAAGCATCAACTTTCCACGTTCATTGTAGGCTATCTGTAAAGGCTTTACACTTTCATGTATATTAGTGCACAGAATTTAGCACTTAGTTTAAAGGTGCAGTATGCAAGTTTGACACCTAGTGGTTGAACTAGGTATTGTATTCCTTAATCAAAACACGCAAGCGCAGGTTGCCAGATTGAGGACAAACAGGAGCGAGTCTGACTATCAAGCTGAAAGGCTGATTTAAGTCGTGTTGTAAATAAAAGCAAAGACATGCGATACAAGTAATATATTTCCATATTAGAAATGGCTTCTATGTCTTGTAGCTGAACAACAGAAACCTGACAATGATCACCTCAGGTACACCTCATGTGCTTTATTCAGTGTTAAATGCTAATAATGTGAGTTTAAATGCCATTTTACATGACATTTATTGCCATACTACTGAAAGCAGCAGCAGATAGTTCACCTCAGATCTTGAAAATAAACCGTTTAAAATTGAACTTTAGAGCTGCGACTCATATCAGTGATTCAGCATCTACATTTAATAATGTTAAAGAGGTTTAATATGTATCAATTATAAACCTTCTCACTTGTAGAGAGTGCACTATTCTGTGCTTCTGAATGGCTGTATTTACATTTCTGTCACGTTTCGTCGGGTGCAAACAGCCCAATTTATTAATCGCTGCAAATCTCATCATGTAGCGTGTTGTTAAGACACAGGGTTACAATGTAACCTGCTCACCTAATGTTTACATTCGGTATATTTAAAATATTTGCTAATTAATAACCTCAAGTGAAACTCTGAATCTGCATCTCATTTCGGAGGCTGCTACTGTCCACTGGCAGTCGTATTTCTTTAAGAGCCTTTCTGACAGAGTGAATGAAATGTGCCGTTATCCATCAAGGTAACCCTGGGTGCTGAAATATAATTGTCTAATCTGGCATTGGGTGGGTAAAAAACCAAAACGAAGACAGACGTTCTGGCATGCAGAATATCTGATTTCAGCAGTGTTTTTCAGATAAACAAGAATGTTCACTTGGCATGTTTCTTAAATATCTGCAAACATACTACAGCATTTTTATGCTTTAGAAGAGTCAAAAACTTAAGCACATTTAGAGACATTTAAGCCTCTTAATCCTGTGGTATAAGGCATA